CTCATAAAATCAAAGAAAATCAGAGAAAAGAAAAAAAAAAATTCAGAATCAGAAAATGCATAGACAAATTACAGAAATCGAAAGAACCTGAAATCGGAGCTAGAGAAGAGAAGATTGGTGATCCAACAGACCATCGATGGAGAGCAAAAATTTTGTGCGAACAGCGGTGCTCTCGGGTTTCGGATCCTGGTCATTTTCCTTTTTCGGATTATTTTATTTTTTATTTTATTCAGGAGAGCATGTTGGGAATTTATCCATTTTCCGAGGAGCACTCCCCACTTCTTGTTAATTGTGAAAACACCCCAGTGTTTTGATAGTTTCTTTCAATTTTGGACAGATTGTGTCAGATCTTGGGTCTGCAGAGATGGTAGATAGACACCCACTGTGTCAGTGGCAGCAAGGTTCAGGAATTTTGAAGAAACATGGTTTATAATGTTGCAAAACCAACACCCGGACATTGTTTGTCTCGTTTTTATGGGGTTGATTTTCATTATGATAAGTATATTTAGTTTGAAAAAAATGAAATAAAGATAAATGTATCTTTAATGGCTATAGAATTCTTAAGGTGTTTTTATCTTTATTATATAACTAAAGATAATAATGTTTAATTGAATTATAAAGATACCTTATATTCGATTAAAAAGAAAGGAAAGAGAGAGGAGAAATAAAATTTTTAATCAATCAAATTATGATATTTCTATACTTATTTATCATTTTCATTTATGATTTATGATTTGAAGTAACATTAAACTTAAAAGTTTGTATATTATTTACTTGTGGATCAAACCATCTAGAAAGATTAAATTCATCTCTTTGTGTTAATTATATGCTCCCTATGTTTGGATATCTGTATTCATCTGCTATTTTCAATGTGGTTGTTTTATGCCCTACAACATGTTTGTAAAAATGCTCACAAGAAAATGAGTTTGGTTATCTTAGGACATTGATTGGCAGCGTATTTATCCTTATTGTACCAGGCAACCATCATAAAGAAAACCAACTTTTGGGGCCTTGTTCGTTGATTTGCTGCGCTTCTGATGCATGAAATTATAAGGGCATGTTGTATCAGGTATTCATGAGCAAGTACTTCCCTCCATTTTAATATCTTGCTCAAGTTTCCAGTCATTGCATATGACAATGAAGAGAAGAAAAGCTTTACACTCTTCAAATATAGGGTGTTTTCTCTTTTATTCAAGAAACTTGGTGAAACCTTTTGTGATGTTATTGTTACCCTTGGAACATTTTAGCAATGAAAATCAAATTTGTGACTATGGTTGATTATAGCCAAATATTTGACTCCGTCTGTCCTCAATCCTTTTCTTGACTAGGACCCCAGCTAATTGTTTTGTTCCACCATTTATGAAAAAAGCTTGGTTAAATTTGCTAAGCGATGATGATATATAGGTGTATAGGGGTGATGGAAAAATTTGACTCATATAGATATATTGTCAATTATAAACGTCTTCTCATGTGAGGTATTATCCTCCAGCTAGGTTTTGTTCCTCCAATAGGAGTTTTATGTAGGAAATGGAGATGCCATTTTTCTAAATCATAAAATCACATATAGTTTGCCAAATGCTAGTCAACATATGATGTAGATTTCATTGCTTTATTTGTTATGATCAAATAGAATATTAAAAAGATATATCAAGATGCGTGCATAACACACACATATAATTATATATGCGTGTCTGTACGCATATGCACACGCGTAAACACACATATATATACATTTGATCTAGCCTATGAAACAAAAACTTGCCAAGAATAACTATGATAGAGACACAAATACTTCACTTTCAACTTACAAAAGCAATACTAGCTAGTTTCAATAGAGTTAGGTAGAATATTAAGAACTTTTGAACCAAAACCTAATTACAACATTGATTGCCCATATGATGAACCTTTGGAATCTCTATAGTTTGATGGTAAATCAAATAAATTTTCCAGGATTTTGAGAAATCCAACCCATGAGATGAGAAACTGGTAGTTTTCCTCATTTATTGTGGTTACTTGCAGGGTTTAATGATTTCAATAAGGTACTATATATCTCCTTCCCTATGTTCCATTCACTAAGAAAGTAATAAG